TTCTCCCCTGGTAGCATGCACAGAACATTCCAGCACTATGAAAGCTACCTAGTAAAAGATGAAGATTCCAGGTGAGAACTTTTCCATGTTCTATGAGTCAAGCGTGGGGTCATCAGTAATAGGTACTCGTTCTGGAGCATAACTAAAAGCAATGACAGTAGTCTGTAATGTTTTGGGGAATCTGAGACCTCATAGGCCAACAACGTGAAAAGATGTACTTCACACCTGGCAAAACCCAAATTAAAAAAACAAAGCACAGCCTGGCCTATGAAGTTGCACAGAAACTCTGTGTGTGTGTTTGGGGGGTGGGAGGGGTGCCAAAAAAAAAAAAAGTTGGCCTTAGGCAAAGTACCAAAGATAAACAATCTAACCTTCCTTAGCCTAGAACTTACAACCAGACATGTCCTGTGTCCTTTAACAATGCCATGACTGACAGCTTTCAGTAAACCTCTTGTCCTTCATAAATGGTGTGCCTTTACTATTGGACAAAACTTCCTTTCTTTCCAGTTAAGGAACATACTGAGGTTTTAAAAGAGCAATGTGGATTCAATATAGACAGCTTTTGACAAGAAAAATAAAATTTCCTAGCCCAGGAGATAGCCACAAATCTTCCAAAGGTCATGTTTTCAAGTACTTGATGAAATCATTACAACCATTTACCTTTTGTCCATAAGAATGAAGACACCTTCTCATTAGCTACCTCCTAGGAAGCTTTTTTTTTTTTTTTTTTTTAAACAAAACTGTTTTATTGTAGTTCCTCCCACAAAGAGCAAACACTTACATTCCTGTATGGCAAACATTTCATGCAGTCACAGTTGGCCTTGAACACTAAATAGCCAAGAATGGGCTTGAAATTTCTGATCCTGACAGGGTGGGTGATGACACTTGCTGCCAAGCCTGATGACCTGAGTTCAATCCCCAGTACTCACATAGTGGAAGGAGAGAACAGACTCCTGCACTCATTCTAACTTTCACATGGGCACTGTGGTGTACGCACATACATATGCACACTTGTACACAATACAAAAAATCCGATGCTTCTGCCTCCATCTCAAGGGTTATAGATGTGTGCCACCATACCTACCTAGTTTAAATGACATTGGAGATCAAATCTGGGGCACTCTACTGAGCTACTCAATTTAATCGAATGTTTTCTTTTCTCCATCCACATAATCAAACATTTTTGTCTTTTGAGAAGGGCTGGACCTGGACTAATATCTCCTCCTGCTGTGATTACATGTGTGTATCACTATCCCTGGCTGGGTTGTTTTTGAAGTTGTTTCTTCTAGGCTTAAAAAGAACCCACATCTTTAAAAAAGAACATATTTAAACAAGCAAAAGATAATTGTTTCCTTACTGTAATAACATTTGGAAATGTGATTTGAACTGAGGAATCTTGAGTCTAGAAAATGACTTTGATCTGTCTTGAGAGGTGTTATCTCCAGGGCTTCAGCATTCTCCCCAGAGCTGAGTGTTGGGGTATACACCTGTAACCCCAGCACCTAAGCAGGGGACCCCAAGCGTGAGTGCAAAAAGAAATTTATCTATTTTTACCTCAAAATGATCTGCCTTTCATTCTATTTACTATATCCCCCCAAATTTGGCACGTTTTCATCATACAGAGTGTGACTACAGGGGCATGGGTGATACCATGTCCACAGACACACTTAATTCCCATCTAAGGCTAGAGAGCAAAGCACTTCGGCCATCTGATTCCCTTGTTGCATGTATGCAGCAAACGAGGCAGGCAAATGAAAGGGCCAGAAATCAGATTAGCTGGATCCTTAAACATCTTTAAAAGAATACAAGGAAATAGTCATTGGTACATACCTGCTCTTGGAATTTCCACTAAAACAATGTTCTCCAAATGGAAGTAAAACACCTTAGCTTGAGAACTTCAGAAAGAGATAACACAGTTGCCAGAGATACAAAATCAAGGGAACTGTACATTGCAAACAAAGGCCATTTAAAAAGTCAACCACTGACCGGACGTTGGTGGTGCACACCTTTAATCCCAGAACTCGGGAGACAGAGGCAGGTGGATCTCTGTGAGGCTAGCATGGTCTACAGAGCGAGTTCTAGGACAGGCTCAAAAGCTACAGAGACCCTGTGTCGAAAAAAAAAAAAAAAAAAAAAAAAAAAAAAAAAAAGTCAACTGCCATCCTCTGACTTGTAGCAGAGTACACAAAATCCAGTATGGCTGTTCTTGTGAAGGACCCAGGTTCAATTCCCAGCACCCACACTATGGCTCATAACTATCTGTAACTCCAGTTCCAGAAGATCTGATCCCCGTTGACCTGCATGGACACCAAGCACGCATGTAGTGCACAGACAAACACCCATGCACATTTCAAAAGCAAACTTGAAAGTGGACAAGATAGTTGGTGTGTCAAGTGAAGGCCTGGCTACCTTGGTTTGATCCCTAGAGCCCACGGTGCAGAGAGCTGACTCTCACACATGTGCTGTGGCTCACAGGCGTCCATACAAACACATACAAAGGAAAGAAATGCAAAAGTTGAGAGAGCACAGTTTTAGAGGTGTGAGGTGCAGCGTTAATTTGTGGTCTCTGCGGAGGAGAAAATGATGGAGGATCGCCCAGACTTTCAGCAGAGAATATACACATCCTGGGTAAGCAAAAGCCATGCTCAGGGTCTACCAAATGAGTATCTGTTAAATGAGAAGCATTTCTGCTTGAAACAGGAACCTCTTGAAAGAACTCATACTTTGGGGTTCGGGGAGGAAACTCAGTTGGAAGTGCTGGCCTTGCATGCGCAGAGCTCTTGGCTTGATTCCCCAGTACCGCACAAACTGAGTGCAAGGTCACAGCACTCAAGAGGCGGAGGCAGGAGGCTCAGGAGGAATTCAAGGTCATCCTGGGTTACACACCAAGTCTAAGGCCAGCCTTTTTTTCCCCTTCAATGTTATAATGCTAAATTCAATTGGAAAATTATTCTCAATATTAAGATTAACTGGTTTTCTTGAAAAGACCATCAAAGCCAAGATATAAATGTAGAATGAATTTTGGTCCCTAATACAAAATGTATTACTGTGTTACCAATGTTAATGAACAATAGCAACATAGTAGCCTATGAGGAGTAGTCCATAAAACAATGTATTACTCTGTTACAGGTGTTAATAAATAACAGCAACATAGTAGCCTACGATGAAGCCATGTATATGTAGCTCAGTATCAGCTTTAATTATGAAAACCTGGGCAGTGCATTTTGTAATTCAGAAAAGTTTGTAAAGTCTCTTTATACATGATTGTGAGCTTCCTATTGGTCACTGCTATCCATATCCTTTCCTGGAGAATCTCAAGATTCAAAATGGTCACAACGACATAAAAAGATAATTTGGAAGTTGAAGGAACAAAATAAACCATATCAAGAGATGGTATAATTTACCTTAGCAAATGCCACCTACATTATCTTCAAATAAATAAGGAAAGTCCACAGTGTAGAAGCCTGATGACATTATAAAACAGAAAATTATAAACTATATACTAAAAGAAATAAACAGTATCATGGTCTAATTAAATGCTCTAATTATTTGCACCTAATTGTGTATCTTGGCTTATCTAGAAACTATCCGATGATAAAAGCAATGTATTTGTCAAAGTGAATATAAACATTGTTGGGATATATGTATGTGTGTGTGTGTGTGACTTCTATCCTATCCCTTATTTGCTGGAAACAAACAAACAAAAAAAAAAACAAAAAACAAACAAAAAAAAAATCATTGTTTTCTAACACCAAAGAAAAAACAATTTAGAGCTAGTATATAAAAAAGATTTCAATACAGTAACAATCATAATCCAAACACAACAAGCATGTATATTTCATACAACAACATGATACCCTTTTCTTTTCTGAGTACTGCTTACTCCCCAACTGTTGCAGAATACATTTTAAAAAATGTCCTTCCATAATCGTAAAGCAAAACACGCAGCAAGCTACTCATTACAGGAATGGTGACTGTATACATTAATAATAAGATTAACGACTGTCTTAAACTAACTTTAGGTTTCATGACATGTAAATAACCTGTGGAGAGCCCCACCTAGCATCTACCTTCAATACTCACCATCATGCCTTGTGCCTTTTCCCAACAGCACAGTCATTAGGATAGGAACACAGACAGACCAGAAAGAGAAGGCCTGAGTCTGCCATGGCTTCATCTTTCTCTTCCACAGGCTTGCAGCTGACTGGTCCTTTTCTTTCCCTCATTCCACTTAAGATCCTTCATGCCTTGGAGCACAGCAGGTATGCGGCATCACCTGTCTGTTACTCAGCACGGATCATAGGTTTCCAGGGAGAGAATGGAGTGTGTGGGGTGGGGGACAATGCAGAGGGTAGCTTCTACCCCAGGAGTAATTTACCTGCAGGTCCAGAGCAGGGGCTCCTGTATGGACTTCACACAATGGACAGTGAAAAACTCAAGCACAGCTCCCCAGTGATCAAGTTTAACTTATTTTAATTTCATCTCTCCTTTTAAAAAATGGTACTCTACTCCAGTGAGGAAAGCATATTTCCTACGTACAACTGTAGAGTTGGCGGCACGCTTTACTCTTGAGAAAGTCAGAGCATAGGAACTTGTGGTTTCTGCGGCCCCCTCTGCCCCTGCGTAAGCACCAGGAACCCCAGGGATGGATGGCACAGCACAGCCAGCCTGCAATGGGACACAGCTGCAGCTCCTTCTCTCGACTTTCCACTCTGACATCTGCAGGCACAGAGCAAAGAGTCGTGTTTTGCATTTGTCAGGGTCGACAAGTGAATAATCTAAAGAGAGGGCTCAGAGAACACAATGCTAAGCTAAATCCCTACTTTTTAGATGGTAAGGTGTCAAGTCATTCAACTTCCTGCCCATATGGGAAGGTTTACTCTATTCCTAAACATGGTAGTATTCGCTCAGTGACCTTTACATCCTGTGTCTTCAGAAATGCCCACTAATTGTGTTACTATATTCAAATTCTTAGAAGTAAATCCAGGAACCATTCCATCTTATCTTACACACAACATTTACTAGTTTTCCAAGCATGACAGAAATGGGAAAATATATATATTAGAACAATTTATGTTAATTTCTACAATCTGTCTCTTCTGTGAGCAGTGCCTGATTCTTTTTTCAAATGAACAAATTTCAGTCCAATGCTAAAGGAAAAAAATCCAATGTGGGACAAGTTACAAGATAAACAAGAATATGATTTTATAATAAATCTCTCCAGTGTTGCTGTAACTGCATTACAAAATGCTTCTTCCCACAGAAACTGAGATAACTCTTATAAAAGGAAATACAGCTTTCTATATTCATTTCCGACAAGCAATGACCAATAAAACATCCTCATAAGGAGTCCAGAAGTGCTGCCTTGGAGGCATAATTCTCCACTCAACATCTTATATAAATAAGCCTTGGTCAATGGCTATTCCGGGAGACACGCTTCTCAGGCCAGTGAGTCCATCTCATGGAAAGCCCTATCAGGAACTCAAGTTGCTGCAGAAGTGAAACTTGGCAAGCTCCACTCAAATTCTTCTAAGGTAACCGTTCTAAAACAAAACTGGCAGAAGAAATCTTGTGTAATAATAAGAATAAAAAGGCAAATGCTGCTTTTGATCACTGGGACTTACAGAGGCAAAAAAAAAAAAAAAAAAAAAAAAAAGGAAAAAGGAAAAAAGTGACAACGGTAATAATTCAAGTAAAGTATGTGTAAATTTAAACACGCCACTTTCACGTTAAGACAAAGTGAAGGAGGGTGATGATCGTTGTAACAGAGTCAAAAAGCTTAGGGTATCGTCACCAACGGCTAATTCACTTTACCGTCACCAATAAGACAATTGTATATATTTTTGCACCTTGCGCTTGTAAAAGCAGATAAAATATTTAATATGTAATTTACAATGTATTTTACCAGCTCAGCATACAGGATGTTTATAGATTATATCAAAGTAGTAGACAGTTAGGGGCCTGTGCAAACCCTGCAAAAATAGAACTTCAGGTATCTGCTAATCAAAAACAAAAACAAAAAACAGTATGCTGTTTAGAAGTGATACAATTCAAACTACCACAAAATACAAAGGACTGCAAAAATGTATACCATTCCAACATCATATATAAGTTATTAAATAAAGATCTGATTTAAAAGAATATAAATGAAGCCTTTAAGTAGGTCTTTTCTACATGCATATTATTCCTCATTAAAGAAAAAAAATATGTAAAAAGGCCATTGGTAATTGCTTTGTTAACATTTGTAGAAAATGCCAATTCTCTGGTCACAAACTCCACTAAGTTTAGCACTTAAGGTCTCTGCAGTGTTATAAACGTAATTTAAAATACTGTTAATTCTATAACTCCATTGGTAAAATGATGTGACTTGGAATATGGCAGTCTTCACGTTGAGGGCAATGATCCACAGTTCTGTATTGTTTGAGTTTCACACGTGAGCAGTTATCCAGAAGAGCAGCACCCTCCACTACCGCTCTGAGCTTGAGGTTCGTCGTCAACAATCTGCACGCCTCGCCTAGCAGCTCCCGCCTGACTAGCGCCGTTGCCTTTCACCCTCTCATCCACCTGCGCTGTCTCTATCATTCCTGAAAGCAGAGAGCAAATGTGAGTACTCCCGGTCACAGACACGGTACATAATGAATACTATGTCAACTCCAGACAACAGGGTTAAAAGCCAGAATGGAGAAAGTGTAACACCTGGTGTTACAAGGGCCACAGAGAGAGAGAGCAAGAGAGAAAAATGGCTGTTTTAATGTCTGAATAACATACTACATACTCTAAGTATAATCTAGAGAGTCTTCAAACACATCAGAGATAGGTTAAAGTTCAGGTTATTCCTAACACATGAGATTAACTTTGGAGCACAGGACTTACTTAAGAAAATGGTATCTGGGGGCTGGAGAGATGGCCCAGGGGTTAGTAGTGCACACTGCTCTTGCAGAAGAACCAGGTCCCACATCTGGAAGCTAACAACTCCTCTGGCTTCCTCCAACACTCATGTGCACATACCGCCGTCCCCATATACACAAACACACATCTAATTAAAATTACACACACACACACACACACACACGGTATTTGAAAGAGTAAAAAGGACTTTAGCAATAGAGAGAGGTTCAGGAGTTTTGGATCCCAGCACCCATGCAAGGAGGCAGACAGCCCAACAGAAGCCTACTAGCTGTGAGCAGACAGAGACAGGAGGGTGGCTGGGGCTTGCTGTTTCCAGCTGGTTTCTAGCCTCGCCAAGAAAATCAGTTTCAGGTTTGGAGAGAGGCCCTGACTACAAAGAAAAGGGCAGAGAACGGCAGAGAGAGGGAGCCCACTGCTCTCTTCTGGTCTCCTTCTGCACGCACGCGTGCGCGCGCGCGCGCGCGCGCACACACACACACACACACACACAAAGCATCTTAAAAATAAAAGACGAATGAGCTTCACAGACAGCTGAAGTAACACACATATGTATTTATGTAAGAGAAATATTCCCATGCATGGTCATAGTATAAAACTACATGAATTGGGTGTAGTGGTACATGTCTTTAATTCTGGCACTCAGAAGACAAAGGCAGGTAGATTTCTGTAAGTTCCAGGCCAGCCAGAGGTAATGGTTAGAAAGAAACAAACAAAACAACACATCAAAGCCCACATGAGTCCTGACAGTGAACAGCTGGATGCTGGGAGCTGTCGTCCCATTACTAGGGAGGTGCTGGCAGCAGGGTCAGGGATTCAAAGACAGTCTCTGCCACACAGAGTGCAAGGCTGACCTAAGTGCGGGTTTTCCATTGATTCGGTTAAGGTAACTGGCCAATGAGCCCCAGGGGCCCAACTCAACAGCCTGAGGGCAGGAAGGTGTTTATAAGCACGTGCCACCATGTCTGTGAATGTTGAACCGCAAACTCAGGTTCTCACAGCGGAGCTATCACCTCAGCCCCTTGAATGTGTTTTAATACATATATTCTCCTTTTTTTAGGGGTGTGGTTTCAGGACAGGGTTTCTCTGTGGCTTTGGAGCCTGTCCTGGAACTCGCTATGTAGATCAGGCTGGCCTCGAACTCACAGAGATCCACCTGTCTCTGCCTCCCAAGTGCTGGGATTATAGGTCTCCTTCCTTTTTACAAAATAATCACACGCACATTTTAAATACATTTAGCATATGTCAAACAAGTGATTCAAAACCATTAGTTTATGGCTTAAAACAGGTAAAAATACCTAAGATTTTAAAAACATGAATTGAACAAATACCAAGTAAAAATAGTAAAAAAAAATTTCCTGCTTTCATTGCAGAAATTGGCAAATACCATTCCAGAAAAATTAACAATACTTTTTTTTTGCTTTTTGAGACAGGGTCTAGAGCATGTTTTGTGGACCAGGGTAACCTCAAACTCAAGAGATCTGCCTGCCTCTGCCTACACCAGTTGTAAAAGCCATTTGTAAACTACTAACAAGGGTATACATACTTTTACAGAGATCAAGGAAGAGTTCCTCAATTCCTTTGTTTTGTTTAGCAGAAGTATGATAATGTTTTGCTCCCACAGAATCTGCATACCTTAAAAAAAGAAAATAAAATATATCGGTCATTGACATAAAGCCCTGAAGCTTTATGTACAATAGCAATTTTAGTGACTAAATTTACCACAATTGACTTACTAACTTACCTAAGCTTCATTACAGTAAGAATACTTAGGTATTTATTTTCTCTGTATACTGAACCAAATTTAGAAAGAAAGAAAGAAAGGAAGGAAGAAAGAAAGAAAGAAAGGAGGATTTGAATTTTTATGCACTAATTGGAACTGACATACTTTAAAAGCTTTTGTGACTTCCTGCCCTTGAATCTTGATAGCTCCTTCGCACCCGCCTTCCATTTTTAGGGAAATCAATCAAGAAACTGAAGAGAGAAGTATCTTGCTCTGGCCAGTTGTCCAGCACCCTGAAGTGCAAACACGCTTCCCGAGAGCAAGAGCTCAGCCCAGCAGGGTGAACTGTGGGAAGTCTGTGCACACACTGAGGGCTTCATGTCAGCTAACTGTCAAAGCCCGGGGGAGCAATGGGAACGAACGGGCAAGCGTGACACTTACGACTCTGCTTCTTGGATGGAAACGTGTCTCTCCTTTTCCAAGTCTATTTTATTACCTAGTGTGAAAAAAGGAAATGCTGATCTTAATACTGATTGATTTTTTAATAAAATTAGACAACTCTAAATACATAATTGTGACTAATTATTTGAAAAAATGATAGGAATTACCATCAGATTTCTAAATGTCTTAATCACAAGGATGTGAAAGCTGTTCATGCTCATCAGCCTGTCTCCCTCTCCTGCAATTTCAGTCTGTCAGAGGAAAGAAATCTCTCTTCTAAAGAGAAGGGCTAAGTAAGGGTCACTATGAAGTACAGACATCATTTCAGTTATATAAGTTAAAAAGCAAAAAGTCTCTATTACCCTATCAACTTAAAACCAATCAACAATTAAGTGTAATTATTGGTTTACTACAACACAGCAACCTTGCCTCTTGGGCACTGAAAGGGAACTCTTTTCCTTGATGACATGAACTAGTCAAAGGAAAAAAATTTAGTGTATGAATTTTTAAGTCCTGCTCCACCACAGAGACTAAGGATAATGTTTATGAAACAATTTTGGTGACCTTTCTGAACTTAATATACATGTCATGTAGATTTGAAATTACTGTAAATAAGTTTAGTCTTTCTTATACAATGGAGCTAAGCCAAGGTTTTCTTTAAAAGCAAGCAGAACCCAAACTAAGATACTGTGGAGAAACAGATTCCTTATTGAGTACTGGACAGAAGTTCAGATGACCTGGGTGGACACTGGGTAAAGGTCAGAGACACAACAAACAAATGGGGGGAGGATCTAAGGAAATACATTTTAAACTAATGGCTTTATTCCTCCCGTTTTAACTTTTAGACAGAATAAGTAACCCTTATAAAGTAATAAGCATAGCATCCAATGAGATCAAATGTTTATCTCCAAGAAGTACAAGAGCTGCTATATATTGAAGACCTCAAATAATCTGAGCACTACTTAATTGCTGGCAGCTGCAACAAGCTATTTGCCGGCATTACCCAAGGAGACTTTGAGAGGTAAACACTAAAGTCAGTGAGCTCCAACCAACTCAGCAATGAACACTACTCTCTGAACAGATATGCTCAGCTACAAGTATTACATTCATTTCACTTTCTACATTATAGTCTGTCAATAAAAACTCAATCCAATAAACAGCCAGTATACTGAACGGTAACCAGATAAAGCGAGCTGTTTATTCTACAAGTACAAGAAGGTCCACCTGGTGTCAAGCTAGAGAGACGGCTTAGTGGTTAAGAGGGCACACTGCTCCCCCAGAGGACCCACACTGGTCAGCTCACAACTGACTGTGACTTCACCTCCCAGAGGTAAAGGGCCTCAGGCCTTCGTGGGAACCTGCACTCACATGTACTCCGCCCCCCATACACACAGAATTAAAAATAATAAAAGAAATCTGGCAGATGTAGTGGCCTTTAATCCCAGAACTCAAAGGCAGAGGCACACGGATCTCTTTGAGTTCCAGGCCAGCCAAAGCTACATAATGAGTATCTTTGTCTCTGTGTCTCTCTCTACGTGTGTGTGTGTGTGTATACACACATCTAAATGATTTCATTATATTAGAACAAACTTGGGAAAACATGACTGGCAATACTTCTAAGAAGGAGATCAAGGTGTTAACAACAGAGACAAACCACTCCAATTTCTCCAAGCTTGGTCTTATTGTATCAGTCACAAAAGAAACCAGCATCATCTCTGACAGCTGTTTGATGCCAGGTAAGTGCTCAGGTATGTCCAGGACTCCGCTTCCCTGTAATGTCCAGGACTCCAATTCCCTGTAAAGCCCTCAGAGTTATAAGGATTTTATAATGGTGCCTACAGAGTACACATCAATATTTCTAGTACACGTTCCCTACGCAGTAACTGTCAAATTAGAGAAATAATCTAAAGAAAAAGGAACCCGAAGAGAAAGTCTAGCAGTCTAAGACTGATCTTAGAGGTCTTTTATTTTACCACCCCAGAATCATGAACTACCTGTACCCTGGAAGTCATAACTGTTCTCAATTTTAAAAAAATGTGTACAATTAAGTGTACACACAAGAACACTGGCTGACTTAAAGCAGCTCTTATAACTCTTCCCTTTTCTTTTTTTTTTTAAGAACTAAAACTTCTGGTGAAAAGGCAAAAGTTGAGACAAGCCTGGGACCCTCACTGGTCCTAGTGGTTTCCCTTGGAATACAAGGCTTGAGTCTGCTGGAAAAGTCAATCCCAAGTCTAAAAGAGAAATACTAAAATGTCATAATTTTCCATTTCTGCTATCTCTTTTAAAAAATTGTTTTGTCTTTAACAATCAGGAGATCAGTGGTCATACTTACCAACTATACACAAACAGATTTCATTTCCCAACATTTTCCTTAGTTCTTTGACCCAGTTTTTCACCTGCGTACACAGAAGAGCAAATATGGGAATTAGTTCCACAACACCTAAAACCTACAGGTATATAAAAATACACCTCTACACATTTTTATAAATTTTTCATACATCCAAGCAAAGCTATTTGCCAGAACAAAACTGTCAAGTACAGACCTAGTATTAAGACACTTGTAACATAGACACTTTGGACTTAGGAAGGTGTGACCCTAGTCTTTTTGATCAAACCCTAACTGATTCCTAATAGGTACTTGTATGTTATAGACTTAAGAAGAAAAATTAAAAAAGTATGTGGGTATTAGAAATGTCTTTTTGTTATGTGGTGAGCCATGTGTAATAATATGTAACTGTTTAACAAAATCCCTGGCCTCTACCAAGTAAAGCCAGCATCATTCTCCCATGGTGTCAGCTAAATATGTCTCCAGATTTTTGTCATCCATGATGTGAACATCTGGCGTAGGATAACTGGATAGGGAAGAAGCTCAGCCCCGACACAGGTGGACATAAACTGGAATTAACGATACTAATCTTTTAAATATTATAATACAATAATGGGATCACAATCAAACAGCATGATAAGGAACAAACCAGGATACCTGCTTTCAATTCTTATAGTGAATTTAATTTATATGCAATCAAGGCTCACAAAGAATATAACTTTGCATAAAAACTACACATTTGTATGTTACAAAAATTCCACTAGTATGTAGTGAGCACCTACTGTGCACCTGAACCCATGACATCAATGTTCTACACTGCTATTCTCTACAAGAATGCAAAGGAACTGTCTTGATTAATCCTGATAAAAGCAAAGATAATTATTTTCAACTTATAATAAACCACAATTTTCTCAGTAACACTCAATTTAGTTAGTTTCACATTAGACATATAATACAAGGGTAAATGTACATCTTCAAATGACTAAATATTTTGATAAATAATAGTCCCCATTTATGCTTGCTTTATTATTTAAAAACTAGACATTGGTGAATACAGACACCAAACAAACAGAGAAAAAAAAAAAAAAAGAAACCCAGAATGAGTCACCTCCCCCAAAAATACCTTCTGAAAGGAATCTTCATCCGTTATATCATAAACTAAAATAGCTCCGTTCGAATCTCGGTAGTAAATTGGACCCAATGCATGGAATCTCTCTTGACCTGCTGTATCCTAATAAAGAACAAATGCTTATTAGATCAAAAGAAAAAGCATATGGCTACTATTTTTAACTGCAGTGAATGTTTAATTAATTGGAAAGAAGGGCATATAGTCAAAGGTAACTCCCAAAACTATTAAAAGAATCAAAACAAGTTACCCAAAAAAACAAACGTTTAAGTGTCATGTACGTTTTACTGTTGTAGTCTTTCTCCTTAGACCTCTCCATCCCCACTAAAAGACCAACTGCTACATGGTTAAAGCAGTGAGATCGGTCCCCATCCTGCAATGCAGAAGAGACGGAAGAGGGCACACACACATCAGGACGACTCGCTAACACATGCCTGATCTCCTGGCACATGCAGGAAAGACAACAGAGGCAAGCCACCCCGTCAACTCTTTCTGCAACTGAAAAAATCGTAACAGCAATATTTAGATGGAAAGCTGTACTCCAAATAGAATTGTAACTAGATTTCTAGGAACTTTTGAATTAAGGAAAATGCCCTTGGATAACTAGCTAATTTATTTACTTTTAAAAAACAAATTCTGACATCCAAATTTCTGCTCCTCAAGTTCTTTAATTAGAATATTTCTGAAGCCAGGCATTATGGTGCACACCTTTAATCTCAGCACTCAGGAGGCAGAGGTAGATGGACCTCTGTGAATTTGAGGCCAGCCTACACATGACAGCCAGATCTTCATAGTGAGACCCTGCCTCACAACACACAAACAACAACAGATGGACTATTTCAGAATACTTACCCATATGGCAAGGTTTACTCTTTTTCCACCAATATTTAACTTCTTTGTTAAGAAAGATGCCTAAAATAAGAGAAATACATGTTAAACGATGCTTCATATAAAATAATGTTCTTCATCCTAACCATACATGAATGAATCTGTCATCTTCAGGCTGTCTGAAAGAAAAGGCAATCACGGAATTTTTAATTTATGACCAACAATTATTTTAATTAAAGACAAAGTATTATTTATACTCTAAGAAAAACATCTTGTAGCCAGGCGTTGGTGGTACGTGTCTTTTAATCCAGCACTTGGGAGGCAGAGGATCTCTGTGAATTTGAGGCCAGCCTGGTCTACAAGAGCTCCAAGAGCTCCAAAGAGAAACCTTGTCTTGGAAAAAAAGTAAAGAAAAACACCTTGTTTTATGACCACATTGTCCAAACTATAGAAATGGATGGAACTTGAATGAGGTAACCCAGTCACAAAAAGAGGAACATGGTATGTACTCGCTCATACATGAATTTTAGACCTAGAGCAAAGGATCACCAGCATACAACCCACACTGCCAGAGAAACTAGGATACAAGGAGGATTCTAAGAGATTCATTCATACAAGGTCCCTTGCCAAAGGGGAAAGGGACAAGATCTCCTGAGCAGATGGGGAGTGGGGGGGGGCAGTGAGTGGAGAGGGAGCTAGGAGAAAGAGAAGGGGAGGAGAGGAAAGCATGTGGGCCTAGGAAGATTGAGTCAGGGGAGGAATAGATCAGAGGAGAGAGAGAGGGAGGGAGGAAGGGACGGAGAGAGAGAGACCATAAAAGAGGGAGCCATTATAGGTTTGAAGAGAAAACTGAACCTAGAGAAATGTCCAGAGACCCACAAGAGTGACCCCAACTAACAATTTGAGCAACAGTGGAAAGGCTACCATAAATGCCATTCCCTGATAATGAGATCAATGACTAACTTATCCACCATCATAGAACCCTCATCTAGTACCTGCTGGAAACAGAAGCAAACACCCACAACTAAACACTGAGCCAAACAGGAATCCAGATGCAGAGAGGGAGGACAAGACCAGGCTATAGAGACAGCTGACCTGAACAAGGAGGAGCTAATGGGCCCCAGACTGACAGCTGGGAATCCAGCATTGGATGGATCAGACCCCCTGAACATGGGTCTCAGTTAGAAGGCCTGGGCAGTATAAGGGACCTTGGACAGTGGAACCAGGATGTATCCCTGGTGCACAAAAGGACTTTGGGAAAACATTCCTGATGGAGAGATACTCTCTTAGCCTAAAGGCAGGAGAGAAGGCCTAGTCCCTGCTCCAAATGACTTGACAGATTTAGATGACCCTCTCCTGTAAGGCATCACCCTACATGTGTAGTTGGGGGGGGATGAATGGGATGGGAGGGGGGTCGGGGGGACATGGGAAGGTGGGAGAGTGGGAGAGGGGACTGGGATCGATATGTAAAATAAGAAAAATAAATAAGAAAGAAAGTATGTAAGAAAGCTGTGGACGTAGCGTGGTGGCGGATGAACAGTAAAATCACAGGGAGATGGCTCAGGGGATAAACGCTTGTCGTGCAAACATGAGAACCTGGCATGCTGACCTGAATGCTCATCCCCAGAACCCACTGAAACATATGCACAAGCAGCAGCATGCATGTCTACAATCAAGGCACCCCTAAGGTAAGATGGGATGCACAAACAGGAAAATCCCAGCCTCTCTGTGTAGCTAGCCTGGCCTACACAGTAAATACCAACAAAGTATCATCTCAAAATGAGATGAAGTCAAGGGCTGACACCCAAAGCTGTCCTGACTCACACACACACACACACACACACACACACACACATTGTGGCCCACACACATGCATGCACACACCATACAAAAATATACATTCTAACTGGGCAGCTCTAGCTGGCCTAGAAATCACCATGTGGACCAGGCTGGCCTTTAACTCACAGATATCCTCCTTCTGCCTCCCAAATGCTGTAAATTTAAGGTGTCCACTACCATACCCAGATACATACACATTTTAAAAAATAATAAAACACACATAAACACACACACACACACAAAATGGTGCCTGTTTTTTCTTATGCTTTTTTCTTTCCTGTATATATGACAATTTTTTTCCCAGAGCATTTACCAATTTACTGAATAAAAAGAGTATGTAGAGGCAGGCACTCCAGAGGCGGGGCAGGTGGATCTCTGTGAGTTTGAGGCCAGTGTGGTCTACAGAGTGAGTGCCAGGACAGACTCCAAAGCTACACAGAGAAACCCTGTCTTGAAAAACCAAAGGAAAATAAATAAATAAATAAATAAATAAATAAATGAGATAGTGTCTACAAGATTCCAAAGATAGCCAACATTGCTCAAAATGGTTCTGTGTGTGTAATTCAATTGTTTACCATATATCTCTGTCACAGAAATGAAATACATGGGCCCCAGTCTTCCCAGGGGAGCTTGGTACACTAGAGAAAGCATGTACAGAGAATACAATTTCATTATACTGACTGAAACCGAGGACCCTGCCAAGTACACTGTAAGGGGCATGCTGGGAAAGGAAGTTCAATGCTTGCCTGGCTGAGTTAAGGTAATGAATGATCTCTCCATTAGGTGTAGTTGGAATTTTTCCTAACCATAAACAAAGCCACTGAAGCCTAAAGCAAATGAAGTCATTTCAGGGGAGTGCCAAGTTGGTATGGTTAATAACAGACTGTGAACACATAAATGTAAATGAGCAAGGGCTAAACCAAGTTTCCAGGACTGGGGCTCAGAGCGCTCTCAGCGATGAAAGCGTTTACCATCAGGGTGGACATCTGAACTGATACTGCTCTAGCACAGGGCTAGAGGGAGCTAAGTAATCCCTGCTCTTAACAAACACTCAGGTGTTAATGGAAATAAACACCTCCACAAACATGCCCAGGAAATCTGGAGGAGCTATAACACAATATCTGCAGAAATGCATTCCTAAAAGTTTCTTTATGAACCAAACTTTAATTTTTTTTTTTAAATTTAAAACTTTTGGTTATTTTTTGCTTTGAGATAGTTTCTCATTGTAGCCCTGGCTGTCCTGGAACTCACTCTGTAGACCAGGCTGGCCTCAAACTCACAGAGATCCTCCTGCCTCTGCCTCCTGAGTGCTGGGATTAAAGGCGTGCGCCACCATGCACCATATACTGTGTGCATACATGATACGTGTGAACACTCATGCCAGGGTCTGAGTACCTTTACACGGTACCCATACAAAGGCACCCTCAGGATCAAACACAGTTTGTCAGGGTTGTGTAGCAAGTGTCTCTAGCTGCTGAGTCACCTCACCGACCCATGAACTAAAGTATCTTAATTTACATAGGAGGCGCACTTGTAAAGCATATTACCGGAATAAACCTTTCCCCTCCGAGTTAGCCCATTTGTGGGGAGGTTCCGTCTGTAATGTGGGTCACCTCATTTGACCACATGCTCAGCTTTCCATGTCTTATACATATTTTTAAGAGCAAACACTATTTTTAAAATACAACTACAGCTTTAATGTAACATCAGAACAGCAGCAAATAATCAGAGTCTGACCTGTGTCTGTCTGAATCAGGCCTACAAAAGCTCCACTAAGCCTGGCCAGATTATTAAAACATCTTTGCGGTGGTAAAATACTAGGGTGGCAAATTTCTTCATTCTGTTATATGGCAGAAAGGAAAGAGGAAGCAATCATGGATCTAAGAATCAGCTTATGCTGAAAACAATCCTTCCAACATTCCCAGGGGATTATACATGCTGGCAACTCCTCTAATCCACCCCACCACCTGCCAGAATGGGAAAGAGAATTCAACCGTAGTTAACTCAGAAGGTTCTAGGCCTGGGGGTGGGGCTTACAGACCATGTGGAAAGTTCTGTGCTCTCAAGTTCTCACTTAATGCTTGCAGTAACCCTGTTTTACAGTTACAGATTTGAGATTTACAGAAATACAGTGACTCACCAAGGTCAGATAATTAAGGTGGATGCGGCAGTGGGCGGAATCCTGTCTGACTCCATAATGCCTTTCCCATTGCACAAAGCTGTCTAGCCAAGAATACACCTTTCTTAACCTGTCAGTCCTTCATTTGGACAGCAAGTGTTCCTGGGCACCAATGCACCTCCCCAGACCCTCTCAGGGCAGGAAGAATGTAGCAAAGATCAAAGTAATGGCCTGATTCCACCTCTTCCTCCATGCCCCATGCCTCTTCTAACCCCATCCACTTGGCCTTGCAACTTCAGGGCAATAAACATTAACAGTCTTATTATTAGCTCAGATTGTTACATTTACCTGGTGCCCATTAGCCACTACTTATCCAAAACCCAGTGGATGAAGAAAAAAACATGGGCTGCGGGGGAGGGGGTTGGATGAAAGGAACAAATAAAATGCCAAATGAAAATCTTCCCGTAACTTGTCAATGTTCAATTCTTTACTATGTGCACTGTCTTCTGGAGAGCCTTCTGCTAAGCATAGACAGTCTGTAGAAAACGTGGTGCTGAGTCAAACACAAACACAACCCTTTTTCTTCCTGCCGACCATACTCCACCACACACACACAGAACTAGTGTCACTATTTTCTAATCCCTAACAGTCACAGGCCTCAGTATAAACTGTCTACTACCACTCCCAGACTTGAGACAGGGCAGAGTTCAAACAAATAATTTATATAATTACCCTTCTGTAGCAAGAGAATAAAAACTAGTTATCAGAAAAGTGACCTGGGTTCTTCAGTATTTTTAGTCTTTTTTCTTTCTGAGAGAGAGGGAGAGAGAGAGGGAATGTGATTGAGATTTTGGTACCTGTTTGGTCTCAGAAACCCAGGACCAATCACATACAGCAAATTAAAGGTGCCGAGTGGGCTTTCACAAGAAATGTCAGTTATTTCTGCAGCATGTCATGGCACAGGCCATTAATCCCAGCAAAGGAAGCTGAAGCAGGACCTCAAATTTGAGGTTGGCCTTGACGACATAGCAAGACTATTTCAAAACAACAGAAGGGTGTAAAAACAAGGGGGGGGGGGAACAAGTAATATCTAAGAAGCAGATTAAAGCACCAAGCAGAAAATGAC